CCCCAAAACCCCAAAACCCCAAAACCCCAAAACCCCAAAACCCCAAAACCCCGAAATAGGGAATTTTAGTTGAAATTATTGATAATATTTTGGTTAGGTTCAGATGGAAGATAGAGAGCCGAAGGGTCTGTAAGAGGGGGTGAGGAAAGGGAGGTTTAGAGGGGGGTAAGGGGTGAGTGGAGGGGTTAATGTGGTTGTGTAGAGATGAGGGAGAGGAACAGAGGAGAGAAGGAGGATTTTTGGAGGAGAGAAGTAGGGGAAATATTGTTTATGAGGAGGAGAAGCAAAGAATTGGGTGTCACTCTGCTCAAGGTTGTAAGAGAGGTTCATCCAAGGGTGAAGGAGATGAAGGAGGTAAGTTTTATACATATATTAAACTAGACATTTATAGATTTTGATTGCTCAATTTGTATTACAAGTTTTGATGGAAATGATACAAAAGCGATCCCTCTTTTGAAGGAAAAGCTAAAGAGTTCTCAGAAGGAACAAAGTAACATCGCTGATGCAGAATCCCCGGAATCGCCTAATTCTGAAGATATAGCCATATTGTACTTTAATCATTCAGATAAGAACAAAAATGAATCTGGATTAGACTCCAAAATGAACTTGTCTTCAATGGTACCCAAAGATACCATCGGAGTTGTTAGACAAAGGGATATAGAAGACAACTTGGAAGAGATTTTGGTAAACTTTGAAACCAACGGAGTTTCAATCCTCTTCAATTGAAGTCACATTTTCCACAAGCACTGCATCAAAGACTGGATTAAAGGACATAACACTTGTCCAGTCTGAAGGGAAGTAAGGCTTATTTTTTTGTATTTGGATTAATTATTATAGAAAATTTATCAGAAAGAAGTTGAAAAATCCTATTTGGATGAACTAGATTATCAAGATAGTCAAATGAATTTTTTTGGGTTTATCGCCGATTCACTGACCTATTATTATCATACTCCGTCTGAGCTGACATTAATTGATGGTGTGGATGCTAATTCTGATTTAAATACTTTTATCTTCAGCAATTTAGTGAATGGTGAGGATGAACCATCTCCCAATACTCTAAATTTAGAATTTTTTCCCTTGATTGAAGATGGCCATAATCCCAATAACAACGAACAGGAATATCAAGTTCAATAGATGAACATCACATTGTAGGCTTAATATATGATGGAGAATCTTTTGAATGGGAACCAGATTCTTTTGAATTTAGACCTCCCTCTTATATTGAGGACACTCAAATTCAAGAAGAGAGTTTCTTTGAGTAATTTCTAATTACATATAACTCGCTTCTTTCAATTAAAATGTAAGTATTGGGGTTTTGGGGTTTTGGGGTTTTGGGGTTTTGGGG